CAGAAGAGGAATCTGACAAAGGAAGAACAAACAACAACCTACATCCCTGAGGCGGATGCAGGGGTTGCAATCGCGCCCCCTAAATTGTATTAAGAAAGATAATTGTTGTACTGATTGATATGAATTACTGGTAAGATTTTTAAGGTATGATGAATTACTGGTAAGATTTTTAAGGTATGAGAGTGCAATTTCCGGGCACCTAGAGGTTAATATTCTCAAAATTTTAGGAACTAATCCCCGATTCTCACGCACCCACTACCGTCAAATCCTGCATCCGCCCAAGCATCCCTACAAAAAAATAATGGTATCTCAAAAATTAATAATTTTTCTGTCTCAATTTTTGTTTGAGCAACCTTGATGCTCCCAACATTATGGCATAACAACAATTTGTTCCACTTCACTATTTCTGAACGTCAGGTTTAGTTTTAGGACAAAATCATTTGCTAAATTGAATTAGGTCTATTTTGGAGGAAAACAACAGAACCTGTTATCATGGCAACACGATAATTCTTTTTGAAAATATCTCATTTTTTCCATATTCATCCAAAGTATAATCAGTTACCAAATATGAAGAAAATCATTTTTTTCATCTTTGCTTTAGGCCTCGACAATATGGACAAAGAAATTTGTCGATATTTACAGACAAGTGCTCATAAGTTTGCTCGAATAAAATATTTGTTGACGTTGGTAAAGCTCGTCCAAAAGTTGGTAGTAAGTGTATTATTAAAGGCTCTAGAAATATTGAAAAAAGATCGATTTCTGGCGATATGTATGTTTTTATGAGATGTTAAAGCCGTGCAGACGTTGCGTCGGCTGACTAAACCATCTCCGCTCTGTTCTGTATGAGAGTTTGACGATACGACGCCGCCTGCTGATTATTGGTTAAATCTGAACGGATCGTGGTCCACTCACCGTCACGTCACGTTCTTTATAGAAATGAATTGTGTGCCCGGCATCGGCATTGAAATACATTGAATAACCGAAGGAGGTTTAAAATGATGATACAAGTAATTAAAGAACTTACTATTTAAACATTCGCCACTGTATGCTACGGTGATAGTGATTTGCTGAAAGCAGCTTTGGTAATCAAGAAAACAACTGTTGGTATAAGTGACGCCGTTACTTCCACAAACCTGTGCTATTCCATTAGACGTACACGACATCGGGCATGCGCAAGCACCACTCATGCATACTGCTCCAAAAGTACAAGTAACACCAGAACAACTTCCAGAAACTAAAGCAAAGAATATTTATAAAATGTTATTAATACGAGTGTACAACAAAGGACAAATAAAAATCATTGGAACCAGCCGTTATGCAGCTCTGGATATTACAATGATAAATGACAATGACACAGTAGAGTATCTACAGGGGTAGGTGGGGACATCGCCACTCCCCCTCCCCACCAAAAAATCCCATTCCACAAGCAATAAAATACGCTCAAAGATTTAAAAATCTCCTCATGTCACCTTGCTTTACCAGCAAGCTTCCATCCATTATCAAGTCCTCAACATCAACCCTCATTTCTACACTCAACTACGCCACTGACTTGACAAAGCTTTTAATGTTGATGACAGGGATTTTGTAACGAAATCATTTACATTCACATTGCATCTTGAGGTTATGATTAAACTCATTTGAACAACTTACTATCTTCACAGTTGTACCCAGTATTCATATTTGGGCAATCGCAGAAATAATAGGTTCCTGAAGGCACACATACGCCACCAGCTTGACATGGATTGTTAGAGCAGTAGGCATTCGATGCTAAAAAGTACAACCACACGCATATTTAATTTTACACAATGAATAGGCCTAAAGTTTATAATACATTATATTATGTGTTTACTATACTATATTTTATTATAGAATTTTGTAAAATTAGGCTTATTACATTGAATTCCCACCCCACCCTCATCTTCTTAAACTCCTACACTTTTGAAGTCCTTGGGAAATCAATTTTTTTTTACAGTTTATTTACCTTGTTCACAATTGGTTCCTGTATATGAAGATGCGCATGTGCATGAATATGTTGATCCGGAAATAGAACATTCACCTCCATTTTGGCAAGGATTTGGGTCACAAAGACCTCCAGCTGTTTAGAAAATGTTTTAATAAAATCATCACTTTTTAACAACAAAGGTAAAAAGCCACATTAATTCATAGTACAATATAAAAATGTTATCAGTGAATTCCATTTTACGTTATTAGCCTAAATAGAGTCCTAACAAAATATACTATAATTATAGTACATTTTCATAATGTTTAGAATTAATTTATTATATACTGTACACATGATGATGCTTTAGGCAACTTGACCTTTGACATGGTAATGCGCAGTTGAGATACGAAAGGGCCTAATATATATCATATAAAATAATACGGCTACTTATTCAACACCGAATATATTTTACTCACTGTTCCCTTCACATGTTGGACCAGAAAATCCCGGGGCACATGAACATATATACCAGGTACCTGAAGGTGTGCATACTCCACCGTTCATACATGGAGCATTGTTGCATTCACCAGCTCCTATAAAACGAATTAGTAATGTTACATAACAAACGATAAATCGATAATCAATCGATCGATTGATGATTATACCAATTGTTAAACAATCTGTAAAAGAAAACGAAACACTACTAAGTTATAATTATGCTAATCATTTAAGTTTAAATATCTTATCATTGGATTAGAATGGATTTATTCGTGTCGACACCAAGACTTATTTCCAGTTGGGGTCTTTCATGTGAAGTGGGTGGTACAACGGGAAACAATTTTTTTTCCGAAGAAAGTAGCAATCTTTATGGTGCACATGGGCCATATTGTACGCAAGACCAAAAGCCTCTTCCGAAAAACGGTGTTCTTTTTAATACATTTCAGTCCTTCAGCTGAAAAATAGGGATCGAGACTCGACGGTTCAGCGCGCAAACACACTAGTGGCTACCACCAGTTTACTCAACTACGCTACTGTCATAATATTATTTAAACATTAATCTTACTAGGCGTAAGTTGATTTTTTTTTTTTTTTTTTTTTGCAATTTTAAATTAGGCCTATGAGAAGCGGCTGGCGCAACCAACGGGTGTGGCTCGGACTCCCAACCTTGAGGTCGAGGGTTCGAAACCCTCGCTGTGCAAGTCGCTTTTTGTCCATAGGAAAGACACTTTATCTACGTTTGTCTCTCTCCACCCAAGTGTACAAATGGGTATCAGCATATGCTGGGAAGGTAAAAAAGACTGCAGTGCAGGAGGAGTGGCGAACCCCGCCCCCACCCCTTACAGCCTTGCACAGTCTAATATAATATTAAACTACTTAAAAAAAGTATACAACATGAATGATGTATATCATCGTCTGAACGTACCGGTTTCACATAGACTACCAGAGTATCCTGGGGGGCATGCGCATACGGGTTGCCCTGCTGTATTCACGCTGCAAATTCCTCCATTTTGACAGTAGGTTGATGTACAAATAGCTAAAACAAAATAATGCAGTGAAGCATTATTGTCATAATATGTCTATAAAATATCTTTGTGCCATATATGGCATGATATCATTTTGTGGATTTTCATGTAAAAATCTTGAAATGATGATTATCATATGATGGCATATATTTGGCCTTTATATAACATGGGCAATGACACTTTAACATAACTGTATTCTTTTTAAGCAGTTTTGTGATAATAGAATTAAAAAAATATTTTATTGTCAAGATTTTCTGTATTACATATTATAATATATAAAGCTATATTTTTTTTTCATGGCTACATAAATGGGTATCGGCGTATGCTGGGAAGGTAAAACAGACTGCAGTGCGGGGGGAGTGGCGAATCCTCCACAGCCCAAACGCTAAGGAAAGAGAGACGGGCACTTCGGCCTGTGAGCCCAGAGCTTCCGGTTTCGACCTTTACCTACCTTTACCTATGAGAAGAATATAAATAAAAACTTCTTGAATTATATTATTAGGTCCTTCTGGTATTAAATCACCCTCTATATAAAGGTAAAGGTAAAGGTAGGAGAATAACCCATAACTTGCAGCGTCATTGTGCTGAATTGCGTATGGGCGTGGTCCGTGAGTAACTAGCAGCCGTAAAGAGGCGCTTCTTGGTAGATACATGTTCACATCATTCCACAACGACAGGGGCTGAAATGAACCCACAACATCGGGGTAACCCCCTACTCTTCCGAAAGATGCAATGGGTTCTTTAAAGTGCGCACGAGCCAGATGTATACACTGGACCTCCATTTTAAGTACTTATCCGAGAAGACTTGGTTCTACCAACCGAACCATGGGCGAGGAGCGGCTGGAACCAGCGCCGATGTTAAAGGCTGTAGCTAGCGGCGCCCCTGCCTTACCGCTCGACCACTCGACTCGCTAATATCACGAGTATAACCGGCTAAGATCAGACAGGCGTCTTAAGCTGGCACTCACTGCGTCGTACGACGGTCGTACGACCGTCGGCCGACGAATCCAAATCCGCTGTCCGTGAGCACTAGACGACACGACGCCGTCTGATTATTGTCAGTAGTGAGCTTTCGATTCACGACGGTGGGCAATATGTACGGAGATCTACCTGACCGTCATGAACGCCTCCCGTCCTGTTGTGAAAACACGTTTCGATCATTCTACTCGCTGCACGACGGAGGCTCGTACACAAACGCGCTCAAGTTAACGTCGAATGAAAACTTTCTTGCAAACTTTTTCTTAGCCTAGCCTGGTGCGCGATCTAAGGAACTGAGAATGACGAGTTTAACAGTTATTTTAGGTAAGGAGAGGATACTTGCACAGAAAGCTGAAAGGCCTAGGCCTAGGTTTCGTCTGTCATGCATCACACACAACTTAAATATTTCCTGGTTCCCGGTGCATCGCTTCCCGTCATATTTTAGACCGAACGTTAAATCGAGAGAAGATCGTTCTGGATTTGAGCGAGACGGAGGGTACTGAACTTACACGCAGATAAATTTTTGTACCATTTTACCGTCCTCTCATCCTGCCTACCGTCATGGATCGAAAGCTCACTAATGGCAGTCTGAACGGACCGTCATTAAAAATGATCCGTTGCGCGCGCGTCGTAAAGTAAACCTACTTGTTGGTGTTTCACAACGATCTCCTTCGTATCCAGAGTCACAGAAACAGGATGGTAACAAGGTAGATGCAGACGTGTAGCAGGTTCCTCCATTAAGACATGTTATAGTCATACATGATTCAGCTGGTAAAACTGAAGAAAGGAAGACAAGAACATCATGAATGATGATGATGGATGATTAATTTTCTTAATTCGAAGTCAGACATTTATAAAATGTACAAAAAAAATAGCAATGGTATCTAATATAAAGAACAGTTTATATTCGAATTCATTGCATACAATCGGATATTTATGCATATAAAAATATTACTTAAGTACTTATTTACAAAAGTTATATTCGCAAAACATTACCAAAAAAAGATAAACAGAGACGTCAGAAACAAACAGCAAATTAGTCTCATTGCAAACATGACGTTGGTGGCGACAAATTTGTACTCTACAGGCAGAAATGTCTAAATATGATGATGATGACATCACATCATCGCAGCATAATATATAGAGTACTACAGTGTTACATCATGATACCACGTGATACTACTCCGTTGTTACCGTTGCAAAAAGAGTTCAACCGGACGCCATTTTCTTCACTGACAAACCATATAACTAATATAATGCGATATTTTCTGTTTTTAGTACCGGTACATTTTGATGGTAAAATATTAGATGTTAAAATGCCTATTCCAGAAAGCCTATGAAGTCATTCAGGCGTAAGGAACGGTAACCAACGTCTGTTGACAGCAGAGAGCGCCACCTGGCGTCGTGACGACACGACTGTGGTATTCTATAGGCACATTATGACGATGAATACAACTGTTTTTTGTCAAAGAAACAGCGCTTTAGAGTTGCAAATCTGATTAGTTTTAACAATCATATTTTAGATGGTTCCCTCCATAATTTCTTTCATTATCAGTTAATAATCGGGAAAAAATGTCTGCATGAATATTGTAAATAGATAAATATAAAATGATAAAATGAATGGTCTGATGTAATGATACAATTGATATGCAACTTTTAAATATTCTCCACATCCAAGAGTAAGTGAATCGCACCAATTACAGGATGAATGGTATCTTTGTCATCCTAAGTCGTGATAACACGAAGGTAAGGTCAAGGTCACAGGATTTGACCCTACCGTGGAATTGGAAGGTGAGCATCTTAACAATCAAGCTACATCTTCTCTCATCTAACATATAAAATTATAATCAATTGCGATTCAGCTAACAATGAATCCTACATACCGGTACTCAGCGTCCATGGCTGTCTAGTGTTTTATAATGTATTAGTACACGAGCTTCAAATATAATATTAAACCATGATTTAACTATGTAAATATACAATATGAATGATGTATATCATCGTCTGAACGTACCTATTTCACACAGACTACCACCGTATCCTGAGGGGCATGCGCATACGGGTTGCCCTGCTGTATTTACGCTGCAAGTTCCTCCATTTTGGCAGTAGGTTGATGTACAAACAGCTAAGAAGTTACAAAATAACGCAGTAAAGCATTATTGCCATAATATATCTATGAATATCTCAGTTGTACCATATATGGCATGATGTCATAGTTGTGAATCTTCATGTAAAAATCTTCAAATGATGATTATTATATGATGCCGTTATATTTGGCCTTTATATATAACATGGGCAAGGTCACTTCAACATAATTGTATTCTTTTACGAAGTTTTGTGATAATAACATTTAAAAAATATTTTATTGTAAAGATTTACTGTAGTACATATTATAATATATAAGTTGTACTTTTTTTATGGTGACATTGTTGTATAGTCAACTTACATGTTGGTACACTACAGTCAGAACCAGAGAAACCGGTGTTACAATAACAAAACGAATCTCCAAGGCTCGTTACTAAACATACACCGTCATTGCAATTGACGTTTGTGCAAGGTGATGATAAACCTAAATTGATGAATAAAGTATTAGTAGTTGGAAAAGTTATTTATAATTATTATTATCATTAAAACTATTATTATAATGAATAGGACTGTCGCTGACGTGCTGATGAACCAAAAGTCATGAATAAGGTATTAGTGAGATTTCATTATTATTAATAATATTAATATATTTATTATGATTATTATTATTACTGCGGGACCATAGTAGTCTTTGGCCTCCCACTATTTTCTATCAATCGTATGTTGTGCATTAGTAACACGTTATTTTTTATTTTATTTATGTTTGTTTATTCATTTATCTGCGCCTTTATTTGTATATACAGGTATCTATTTATACACGTGGTTAAAGTAAGGGATTAAAAACTCGACCTCGAGGTTGGGAAACCGTTTCAACTGTGCCAAACCGCGTCCACTATTTTTAAAACATTTGTACAATATTTAAAATCAAGCCATTGTCATAACTTACTCGTTTCACATAAACTGCCACTGTATCCAGATGGGCATGCGCATTCGAGTTGTCCCGCTGAGTTAACGCTGCAAGTTCCTCCATTTTGACAGTAGGTTGATGTACAGACGGCTAAAAATGTTAAATCATTCTTAGTTAAAATAGATGGCGTAAGGCGACGAATTATTGGAACCTCATATAACCCTATAAATAGTATCATGCATAGGCCTATATGTGCTGTGCTGTGTCAATAATTTATGCCGTGCTATGGCGTTATTTAATTCGAATATTAAACCTAAAATAATTCTTGTTACTTGATTGGTGGATTCAATATCACGTGACGTTCGATACACAATACTATTGAAATATAGTCAGGCTTTATTCGTCAACTTACATGTTGATACACTACAGTCAGAACCAGAGAAACCAGTGTTGCAATTACAAAACGAACCTCCAAGGTTCGTTACTAAACATACACCGTTATTGCAATTGACGTTTGTGCAAGGTGATGTACCTAAATTGATGATTAAAGTATTAGTAGTTGGAAAAGTTATATATAGTTATTATCATTATAACTATTATTATAATGAGTAGGCCTATCGCTGACGTGCTGATAAACCAAAGGTGATGAATAAGGAATTAGTAATATTTTATTATTATTATTAATATTAATATATTTATAATGATTATTACTGCGAGACCATAATAGTCTTTGGCCTCCCACAATTTTCTATTTCTATTAATTGTGTGCTAGTTTGCTTCAGTAACACGTTATTTTTTATTTTATTTATTTTTGTTTATTCGTTTATTTACATAGCGCCTTTATTTGCATATAGAAAGCGCTTCTTACCCTGGTCATTCGGTCCACATAACTTTGTTATTATATTGTAATAAGTAAAGGAGCAGTCAGCCCTACCAGGTATCTATTTATACACGTGGTTACAGCAAGTGATTAAAAACCCGACCTCGAGGTTGGGAAACCGTTTTAACTGCGCCAAACCGCTTTCACTATTTTTAAAACATTTTTACAATATGAAAAAAAACAAAAAAACAAGCCATTGTCATAACTTACTCATTTCACATAAACTGCCACTGTATCCAGATGAGCATGCGCATTCGAGTTGTCCCAATGAGTTAACGCTGCAAGTTCCTCCATTTTGACAGTAGGTTGATGTACAGACGGCTAAAAAAAAGTTTAATTATTCTTAGTTAAAATAAATGGCGTAAGGCAACGAATTATTGGAACCTCATATAACCCTATAAATAGTATCATGCATAGGCCTATATGTGCTGTGCTGTGTCAATAATTTATGCCGTGCTATGGCGTTATTTAATTCGAATATTAAACCTAAAACAATTCTTGTTACTTGATTGGTGGATTCAATATCACGTGACGTTCTATACACAATACTATTGAAATATAGTCAGGTTTTATTCGTCAACTTACATGTTGATACACTACAGTCAGAACCAGAGAAACCAGTGTTGCAATTACAAAACGAACCTCCAAGGTTCGTTACTAAACATACACCGTTATTGCAATTGACGTTTGTGCAAGGTGATGATGTACCTAAATTGATGATTAAAGTATTAGTAGTTGGAAAAGTTATATATAGTTATTATCATTATAACTATTATTTTAATGAGTAAGCCTATCGCTGACGTGCTGATGAACCAAAGGTGATGAATAAGGAATTAGTAATATTTTATTGTTATTATTATTAATATTAATATATTTATTATTATTATTACTGCGAGACCATAATAGTCTTTGGCCTCCCACTATTTTCTATTAATTGTGTGTTAGTTGTGCTTCAGTAACACATTATTTTTCATTTTATTTATTTTTGTTTATTCGTTTATTTACATAGCGCCTTTATTTGCATATAGAAAGCGCTTCTTACCCTGATCATTTGGGTCCATGACTTTGTTATTATATTGTAATAAGTACAGGAGCATTCAGCCCTACCAGGTATTTATTTATTGTACCAGGTATTTATTTATTGTAATAAGTACAGGAGCATTCAGCCCTACCAGGTATCTATACACGTGGTTACAGCAAGGAATTTAAAACCCGATCTCGAGGATGGGAAACCGTTTCAACTGCGCCAAACCGCGTCCACTATTTTTAAAACATGTTTACAATATTTAAAAAAATCAAGCCATTGTCATAACTTACTCATTTCACATAAACTGCCACTGTATCCAGATGGGCATGCGCATTCGAGTTGTCCCGCTGAGTTAAAGCTGCAAGTTCCTCCATTTTGACAGTAGGTTGATGTACAGACGGCTAAAAAAAAGTTTAATTATTCTTAGTTAAAATAAATGGCGTAAGGCAACGAATTATTGGAACCTCATATAACCCTATAAATAGTATCATGCATAGGCCTGTATGTGCTGTGCTGTGTCAATAATTTATGCCGTGCTATGGCGTTATTTAATTCGAATATTAAACCTAAAATAATTCTTGTTACTTGATTGGTGGATTTAATATCACGTGACGTTCGATACACAATACTATTGAAATATAGTCAAGTTTTATTCGTCAACTTACATGTTGGTACACTGCAGTCTGAACCAGAGAAACCGGTGTTACAATTACAAAACGAACCTCCAAGGTTCGTTACTAAACATACACCGTTATTGCAATTGACGTTTGTGCAAGGTGATGATGTACCTAAATTGATGAATAAAGTATTAGTAGTTGGAAAAGTTATATATAGTTATTATCATTATAACTATTATTATAATGAGTAGGCCTATCGCTGACGTGCTGATAAACCAAAGGTGATGAATAAGGTATTTTACATTTATATTTTATTATTATTAATATTAATATATTTATTATTATTATTATTATTATTATTATTATTATTATTATTATTATTATTATTATTATTATTATTATTATTATTATTACTACTGCGGGACTATAATGTCTTTGGCCTCCCACTATTTTCTATCAATCATGTATTAGTTGTGCTTCAGTAACACGTTATTTTTTACTTTATTTTTGTTTATTCGTTTATTTACATAGCGCCTTTATTTGCATATAGAAAGCGCATCTTTCCCTGGTCATTGTGTCCATGACTTGTTATTATATTGTAATAAGTACAGGAGCATTCAGTCGCACCAGGTATCTATACACCTGGTTACAGCAAGGAATTTAAATCCCGACCTCGACCGTTTCAACTGTGCCAAACCGCGTCCACTATTTTTAAAAACATTTTTACAATTTGAAAAAAAACAAGCCATTGTCATAACTTACTCATTTCACATAAACTGCCACTGTATCCAGATGGGCATGCGCATTCGAGTTGTCCCGCTGAGTTAACGCTGCAAGTTCCTCCATTTTGGCAGTAGGTTGATGTACAGACGGCTAAAAAAATTAAATTATTCTCAGTTAAAATAGATGGGGTAACGTGACGAATATGAATGTTATATCAAAATCATTGAAAGATTATCAAGAAAATTAATAAAGATATACACTTCTTTATGAGTAAACTACATTATGAGTTCTTTGAATATATACCTATATGGCATAATGATGACGTATGAGTAGTTTGAAAGAGTAATCAGATGTCTTAATTTAATTTAAATGGATTTTTTTTCTACAACGGCAGTATATCGATAACTTCACAATTTGTCCGAATTTAATGGTTTTTCCTCATTTGTTGTGTTGTTGCTGAAAGTCTTTCATAAACAAAGGATAAATTTATGATCACAAATCCCCCCCCCCAAAAAAAATCATATTATAGTTCTTAACCCCAGGTCTTCATTATATAGATCATATAATATTTTATAATTATCATTATGTACTTACATATTTCGCACGATGAGCCCGTGTAGCCAAGTGGGCAGTTACATACAGGGATTCCATTATCAAGAGAACATGTACCACTGTTGCAGCTGAAATTGCTACATGCAGCTGAAAATTACATTTTTGTTAAAGTTTAACATGTTTTCTACATTATTATTATTAATATTTTTTGCATTGTCATTTCATATTACCAATGACCATGTCGAAAGCTTTGAATGCATTGTCAAATTTTATGTAACAAATGTCTTTTATTTGCCTATATACGGGCATGGTGATGTCAATCACTCCCATATATGGGTATGATGATATCATATCGCACCCATAATATAGACAAAAATCACATAAAACCGTAAGCCTGGTTGCAATATAAATCACACACGATATCGCCGACTCCTTTGACGACGCTGATTGGTCAAGCTCAGCTTTCATACAATAGCGTGCACCCTACCGGCGACACCCATACCTAGTTCAACTTTGCCGATTGCGTTGCAGAGGAATCATGGTGCATTGCTAGTTGCCCCGAAGCAATCGAGAAGGCACCCCGATTCGTCTGCAACGCAATCGGAAAAGTTGAACCAGGTTCAACATTCCCGACAACTATCGGCGACTGTCGCCAATTTGGTGAGAGATTGTATGGAAACCAAACTTCAGCTGAATCAGGGAGCGTTTCCTGATTGCGTCGGGACTGCGCAGTGCAAACATTGCAGTGAAACGCTGTAAATATTTAAGTAAACCTGGCTTCATAATGTAGACATAAATGTATATCACACAGTTTAAAGGTATACCATCTTTGGTCAAATAGGAAAACCTCAAAAATAACAAATTAAAACACCGAAGCGTTCACTACACTTCCAATGGCACACAAACCGCGTAAGTTCAATTTTTGATAATTTGATACACATTCACTACGAAAATTAATCAACGGCCAATTACCAATTTATTATCTTATTTTATATAGACAACCAATAATATCTATGCGATGTTAATTGGTGAAAACAATACCAATTTTAATTGTCAATAAAAGATATTGACTTACTTAAATATACAAAAAAGTAGGCAATTAAAATTATTAGGCCCTATATAATATTTTCTTACATATTTTAGCTCAACACATACAAGTCTGTTATGTTACTGTTACGTAATTATATCATGTGATACGAAAAGTAAAGTAGATTACATGATAGGCAGTTATCATTGGCTGAGTATCCAGCCGGACAGATACAGACGGCTTCTCCTTGGTTGGTGAGAGTACAAGTGCCACCATTACAGTTTACATCAGCGCATGAGCCTATGGAGTAAAAATTCAAAACGTAGTTATTCCTACAACAAATATAAACTCTTTCGTACTTTATTATACACCAATTTTAGTAACTGCGATTTCAATAACTCTCGTTGGTAGCAGCAAATTAATAACTTAAGTCTGACTCTCTCAGGTGCCCGATGGGTCTTGTACTTGTCCGCCAGGATCACATTACCCCCACTGGCGCCGTCAGTGCATTAACTGATTGATATTATAATTCGTGGTGAAACAAACACGATGAAGTACGGTATATCATGAGTTACAACCTGTTTTGTAAGTACATTGTTGTTTTCATGATTCAACTTACTTGTTTCGCAATTCTGTCCACTATATCCGGCTGGGCAATCGCATACTGGAAGGCCGTTGATATCCGATGTACATGAGCCACCGTTGCAGTTGTAACCAGCGCAAATGTCTAGACAAATTAAAAATATATCGCAAATTCTTCTTATTCAGCAACAAATACGCTCACTAATTCGCTCACTAATTAGAGTGAACTAATGTGATCCATAATTTTCAGCTTTACAATCACAATCACAATCATCATCGTCGTCGTTATCATCATCAGTATCACAATTAATATTTATTTATTATTATTATTATTTTATTATTATTATTATTATTATTATTTTCATTATTATTAGTTATTATTGTTGTTTTATTATTATCTTTAGCTTAGCTTTACAATCACAATCACAATCATCATCGTCGTCGTTATCATCATCAGTATCACAATTAATATTTATTTATTTATTATTATTATTATTATTATTATTATTATTATTATTATTATTATTATTATTATTATATATTTGACTATTACTGGGTATTAGATCTCTATACGTACTGGTTTCACATCTGGTACCAATGAATCCAGGGGGGCATGTGCAGTATGCTATGCTGCCTTCGACTGCGCATGTTCCTAAGTTACAGTTGATAAGGTCACAGACGTCTGCAAAAATGGTAACATATAAGAGTGAAAAAACAAACAGTATCTTTACCTAAGCTTCTATTAACCAGGTGAATATTAATTAGTTAAAGATAGTGATGAATTAAGTATTGTTCCAACAATCAGGACCAAGCTTAATGAAAGAATGTTCTACAGATGATTTTTATACACGGTGAACATTGAGTTTGGTTGCATCTTGTTTGGACCTAGACCTAAGTCTCATTGCTCTAGGACCCAATGAACAAATATATAATTGAGAAGTCTTACATCCTTCGCAGTTGTTTCCGAAGTAGCCGTTGGGACATCTGCAAAAGGGGTTGCCGAACATATTGAGTGAGCAATTGCCAGTATTGCAATTAACACTAGCACAAGCGTCTGGGATAGCTACAAAAAAGATAAACGTATGAAATTTTAAGTAAGTAAAATCATCGATTGCTATTTGTGAATCCGAATTAATTTCACTTTTACTTTGGGTGAATAGTTTCATCTAGTTTGCAATGAGTACCGTTATAGAGAAATATTTTTTTATTTTGAAAAGTTCTCTATTAAGGAAATTATGTGCTTACATTCGTCACATGTTGCGCCTGTGTAACCACTTTGGCACAAGCACATGCCGTTTCCATTGCTGTCGACACGACATTCGCCACCATTGTTACATGTAACATTAGCACATGGATCAGCATTATCTGAAAATTAGCAGTTAATACGAAACATAAATTTTGTACATAAAAATAATCATAAAAGATGTGATATCTGCTAACTCACCGGCGCTTATAAAATGTTTAACGAGAGTAAACTTAAACATACAACGTATGACTTGGTTGCTTATGTACTTATAGTCTTCGACATAGATTTATACATAGTTGAAACTACGAGAGGGCTTATTACACAACTCGTTCTCTAAAGCAAGTGCACCTTCCACACATAAGCAGACAGTTAGAATGTAGCACTTACAATCATCGCATGTTTCTCCTGAGTAGCCAAATTGACAGTAACACCTGGCATCTCCATTACTATCTTGTTGGCATTGGCCACCATTGTTACACGTGATATTTGCACATCGGTCAGCTAAAAAGTTTTAAAGACTCATTTAAATACAATAAAGCAAATAAAAAATAGAAAACAAAAAGTGAAGACTGGTTTCCATAAAAATCACTACACGCTATCGTCGACTCCTTTGGCGTCGCTGAATGGTCAATTGAATCAGGGAGCCTTCCCGACGACTACGCAGTGCAAGAATA